ACCCTCTACTGGTTCCTTCATTTTGCTTAGAACTCACTAGGTTACTTACTGCAAAATCCACCCACCCCCTGGGCTCTGCCAATCTCTCCATGCTCATCTCCTGCTAGGCACTACTTGCCTTCCCCTAGTTCCTGCATCTGCCTACCTTGTTCCTGCCTTAAGATCTTGCACTTGTTCCTAGCTCTGCTCCCAACAATCTTCTACATAATATTCTGAATGATGTCTCTTATCATTCAGGTCCTCTCACTTTAGCTCATGCTATTGTGAATCACCACCCTACCACTCCATCACCCCAATCACTTTTTCTATCATATTATATTTTTATAGCACTTCTAATTATTTGAAAATTATCTTATTGGTTTTCTTCTTTATTGTTTCCCTTACTTAAATGTAGTATATGCTCTGTGAAGGTAAAGAATCTCACAGTGTTCATCAGTGAGGAACAGTGCCTGAGATATACAATAGGTACTGACAGATCTATGTTAAATGTTGACTGCCTGGTTCCTGCATAACAGTTTACCCTGCCAAGCCTATCAGTAAAAAACAAAACAACAACAACAAAAAAAATTTACCTTAGTTTATCTTTACAAACAAAAAATGTTTTAAAAAAACTCATTGCTTTGGAATGATTTTTTACTTCTTACATGGCATGGCAAAATTAGCAAGCTTCTATCTGGGAACAGCTAATTTCCAAAGTTAGAAGATTAAAATAATGTTAGTATTCCACTATAAATGATGAACTTTGGGAGGGGAGAAATGGGGCCGGGAGGGGGGGGAGTGTAACACGTGTTCCAGTCCCGACCATTACTAAATGGCATTTGCAGGCTTAAAAGCATTTGGATACTTACCAAAAAAACATCTAGACCATAATAAGTGTTTTCTCATTCTACTTTCCTTGATGGTTTAGAGCTCTTAGAAAGCCGAGGTAGTATTTGTAAAATATAGACTTAACCAAGACATGCTTTTGTCTTAACACTGTACTCTTGGTAATGATAATTTCAAGAATGGCAAAGCTCAATGACAGCCACATGCTCTGAGCCACTTTTAATAACATCTAACATCCACATAAGCCTTTGCTTCAAATAACTGCAAGGTGAATTGTCTCTTTTGACCTTTACAACAAACAACGGGAAAGGCAGGTGTTATTAGTACTTTTTTAAGGAGGAAGAAGCGTAAGTTCAGAGTTAAACTTGCCCAAGGCCCAGCCACTGGTAAGGGGCGAGTCTAGCCAAGTGTTTTTCTGACAAATCACTTGCCCTTTCTTCTTAAGGACTCATCTGGAAAACTGTAACTGTTCTCCTTACAGATTGTGAAACAAGATGTGATAGCAATAAAAAAATGCTCCAGGGAATTAAGACCTGGGAATAGAATTAAGAGGGTTTTGTAGTCAATTAAAATTTGTTTGCCTATTTTAGTAATCTACATATTCCTGAAAAGATATCAGCCTGGCCTTTAGTATCACAAATTATACACATACACAATCAAACTTGTGTTCACTGTACTCACTGACTTATGGCAGTATCACTAATGTTTAAACAATCCATCTTTGATATTAAAGACTGCATTCCCACTACTTATTCATCAGTGGTCTTACAAAGCACACATTCAACTTCTAAGCTTTTCAGAAGGAAATCAGTGTTTTAATAAGTAACATTTTATATCAGGAAAAATCTTTACACTACCATTTAAGTGCTTGCTTACTTCCCAAAAGTCCTGAAAAATTATTCGTGTGGAAGGTTTTTAAGATTTTACATTCTACCTGGAACCTCACTGACATTAGTTAATTAATTGACACCCTTTTCTAGACCCACAGAATGCTTAATAATGATTTGTTCCAGTACTTATAATGCATAATTTCTCAGAAGTCCTTGATATACCTACTAAACGAATCTCCAAGGATTTCTCTTTAAAGTCTAAATACTTAGCATTCCCACCAAGACCCACATAGTTTCTCCAAAGCAATTCCAAAACCTAGTATATTTTTACATAAATACTTAAGGGTTTAATTTATAGAGACATCTCCTGGGCTGCTATTCCAGCTCATAGTAAGATTAATGAATTCTGATATGTAAATACTTTAGGGGAAACTGTAACAATTTGTTCCTTTGAGAGAATTCTGTTGATTACTTGGGATGAAAAAAACTCAACTGATTTATTCACATTTTGTTGCTATTCTTGGCAATCGTCATTTAAAAACCAAACAATAACTTAAGTAATTTCCATTTTCCCTTTTCCAGTTTTTTGTTTTTGGCATAGCCTCTTCCCAGGCCCTTCCTGCACGGCTCCACCTCCTCCCCACAAGACAAGCCGTTTTCTTTCCACGAATGAGGAACACTTGTTAGTTGTTTACTCTGACGACCTGTTTATCTGTTGTCTTTAAAACTGAATGCCTTCCAGCCAGTGGATCTTTCTCCCTCTCCCTTCCTCTCTCTCCAAAATAAAAAAAGTAAAAAAAGTAACAAAAACACATTTCCAATCATTAAAAAAAAAAAACACAAAAAAAAACCTGAATGCTTCCTGTAGGTATTATCAGNTTATCTGTTGTCTTTAAAACTGAATGCCTTCCAGCCAGTGGATCTTTCTCCCTCTCCCTTCCTCTCTCTCCAAAATAAAAAAAGTAAAAAAAGTAACAAAAACACATTTCCAATCATTAAAAAAAAAAAACACCAAAAAAAACCTGAATGCTTCCCGATAACTAGTTTTCATAAGGAACGGGATAGGCTACTAGATATCAAACTGTTCTCTAAATCAACGATTTCATAATGTCCTGCAGTTTTTAGATTACACATACTTTATTAGGAACTATCTGGAGGTTTGGAACATGTATACAGCAGTCCCCCGTACCTGCGGGGGGATACGGTCCCCTAGCGGATGCCTGGAACCACGGAGAGTACTGAACCCTAGATATACACACATAACTATGATAAAGTTTAACTTATACATTAGGCAGTTAGAGATTCACAACAACTAATAAGAGGACAGTTGTAACAATATACTATTAATAAAACCTGTGTGACTGTGCTTGCTCTCACTGTTCCCAAATACCTTACAGCGCTGTACTCACCCTCGGGACGACGCCACGCCCGTGAGCTGGAGGGAGGTGAACCGTGTCGTCGTCACGCAGCGTCAGGCGCCTGCCGACCTTCTGACGGTAGGTCAGCATCATCCGTGTGTCAGGCCGGTGTCATGTTTCCTCCCACAAATTTAGTGCCTTTTCCGAAACTGCACACTTATCTCGCGCTGTGGTCCCGTTTGCAGTTTGAGGTAAGACAGCAAAACTAGCACAATTTTGTTCCCCTTCTTCAGTTTCACAAATAGAAGATTCGTTCTTACTGCAGAACTTAGCAAGCTCAGGCTGCGCCATTTTTCTTTCCTGAAGTGGAGAACTTTGACCTTTTCGCTTAAAGGAAGCATTTTACGGCTTCTCTGTGGCATATCCAAATTGCCAGCATCACCACCTTAGAACTGTGGGGACATTATGAAGTAAAATAAGGGTTACTTGAACCCAAGCGCCGTCATCCCTTCACAGCGATCTGATAGTTACCAAAATGGCGGCTACGCTCACGGGCGGGTGGCGTCTGCCGCGTGAAGCCGCGGGACCGAGGCATGACGGTCGGCCGGCGGAGCAGAACTCGCGAGATTTCACAACTCCGAGTGGCATGCCATTTAACTTATGAATTACCTCTGAAACTTTCCATTTAATATTTTTGGGCCACAATTGAGAGTGGGTAGCTGAAACCACAGAAAGTGAAACCATGGATAAAGGGTAGCTACTGTATCATAAAAATAACTTCCTATTGCACCAGAATATGTATCTAAATTAAATCATCTCTTGGCTCTGTTGTGCCACACACATAGGAAAATATATATAAAACCAGTCTTTGTCCAATAAATCATGAAATGCAAAGACAACCCAAAATTCCATACACTATGAATGTATTAACACAAGCACGTGATCTCACGCTGACAATGACAGTGTTCTCTCAGAATTGTTTCATTTAGCACACTGGCTAGTAATCTTTGGTTTGGGCACCACCTAATGGCAAAAATGTTTTTTAAAAATCCTACTTCACTTCCTGAAGCTTGCTAATTTTTGTATTTTAGTTTATATTGATTTAGAAAATGTCTGCTTAGGAAAAAAAGTGTATCTGCTCTTTCTTGACCTATTTGAATAGTTCTAAGTGTCCAGTTCTCTACTTTGAAATAAACCGCCTGTTACAGTGGGAAACATTCCAATGAAATGAATATTCTATTCCATTCTTAAATATTTAAACTTAACCTCATAATTAAGAAACACATTTTAGGCCCTGGCCAGGTAGCTCAGTTGGTCAGGGCTTCGTCCCAATACACCAAGGTTTCAGGTTCAACCCCTGGTCAGGGCACATACAAGAATCAACTGCCCTGGCCAGTGTGGCTCAGTGGTTAGTCAGCCCACACACCGAAGGGTCTTGGGTTTATTTTCCTGTCAAGGGCACACACCTGGGTTGCAGGTTCAATCCCTGGCCTGGGTCAGGGTGCATGCGGGAGGCTACCAATCAATGTGTCTCTCTTGCATCAGTTTCTCTCTCTCTTCCCCTCCCTCTGTCCCTCCCTTCTACTCTTCTCTAAAAATCAATGGAAAAAATATCCTCAGGTGAGGATTAACAACAACAAAAAAATCAACCAATGAATGCATCAATAAGTGGAACAATTCTCTTTCCCTAAAATCAATAAGTAAAAAATTTTTAAAAACACAACTGAATAATTTTAATTAAGGGTTCTCAAACTCTTCTGCACGGCATATCCTTATAATAACCTGTTACAAAGAAAATAGTTCATCTTTTTGAAAACATGGTGCTTATTAAAGTAATTTAACATATCTAAGAAGTTGCTAAAACCAATTCTGAATGCATAAATAGTGAAATACACGCTTGTAAAACCATACTCATTTAATTTTTTTCAAGAGGTCCTTCCCTGGACCTAATGTTTGTTTTCTGATTCAACAAAGAGCAGATAACCAATGTTTTAAGAAAAGGTATTTATTATTTACACCACTCAAATAGTCCCGTAAGAACAATGTACACCATGTTCATTTGAAAGAATCAGATTCCTTTCAAATACAAGAACTGTATAAAGCAATACTGTCAACACAAAACAGTGGTCACATTACATATCTGCAGGCTTAAGCATTGCAAATAATTTTTTTAAGCTTATAGCTAGATATTTTCACTGAAACACAGTGTTTGCACTTAGACAAGATATAGCTAGAAGAGAGCAAAAACTTTTTGTTCATGCTTTTTAGGGCTGAATCAGTGATATGTCCCACTTTAAAATATATTGCCTTTAACTGCTTTTGTGACAATAGTTTTACGCAGAAATGTTTCTACTTAGCCACCAAAAAGAAACATTAGTGTTCCTTAGTTTTACTCTTCAATCTTATGTTTTCTATTTTTCATACTATGACATACTGCTTTCACAGCTGACATTTTCCAGTTTTACTCAAAGAACACTGACACACATACAGCCAAACTGAGACAGCTCAGAATTTAGAGATGTCAATAGTGGAGTAAGAAGAGAAACTGTGTCTATGACAAAGGAATAAAAAAACTGTTGGTGATTTTAAGTATACCAAACTAGGTTCCTTACTGAAAAAATATTTTTTTGGTTTTAAAGGAAAAGCAATAGTTTCAAGATGGGTTTGGTCTTAGACTGAGTCAAACAACACCACAAATAAGGCAGGAACACAAGACATAACTTGTTTCCAAAGTCACAAAATGACACTGTTGAGTATACATTTTTGTACACTTTTTGTTTGTGTGGCATGGGGGGTGGAGGGGGGACACCTCAGTACTCAATCCTGGAGAAAATACTTTTCAAGAGTAACAGTATATTCACATGGGGGGGGGAGAATATTTTTAGCATATTGCTATAATCTTCAAAAAATATAAAATTAAATTTACAAAAAACTGGAAGACCAAGTATAAGCAGTCTGGTATTTGCTTCAGTGTCCAGCACTATTATAATGATTTCTAGCATCAAAGCAAGAGTTCATGGATCTCAAGTATCTTCAATAACTGCCAGCATAACTTGGAACTACTGTCCTTGTTTCTTTGAGAGATACCTGCAAGAAATAAAAGACATCCAAGCTGTATCATGCTAAATTCACAGTAACAATCTAACTCTCTCCCCAAAGGAAAGTAGTTTATTTTAGTAATAAAACTTTTTTTTTAGAAGATTATTATTTTTAATATGTCTTTATTGATTTCAGAGAGAGGAAGGGAGGAGCGAGAGATAGAAACATCAATGATGAGAGAGTCATTGATTGGCTGCCTCTTGCACGCCCCCAACTGGGGATCGAGCCCGCAACTGGGACATGTGCCCTGACAGGGGAATCAAACTGAGATCTCTTGGATCATAGGTCGATGCTCAACTGCTCAATCACACCGGCCAGGCTAACAAAACTTTTTTTAAAGGTGAGTAATAACTGTTAGTAATCACTAATACCTTTTGACTATGTGCCAACCACTGTTCTAAGCATATATTCTTTTTTTTTTTTTAAATATATCTTTATTGATTTCAGAGAGAGGAAAGGAGAGGGAGAGAGAGAGAGATATCAATGATGAGAGAGTCATTGATCGGCTGCAGCCCGCAACCCGGGCATGTGCCGACTGGGAATTGAACCCTGATCTCCTGGATTCTAGGTCGACGCTCAATTGCTGAGCCACACCTGGCTGGACTAAGCATATATTCTAAGTTCATTTAGTCCTCACAACAGCTCTATGAAAAGTTTTCTATTAGAATTTATTCGTTTTACAGAAACAAAGAGGTTAAGCAATTCACCCAAATTCACAAAGCTAGAAAGTGGCAGAACTCAAATTTAAATTAAGAAGACCCTGGAGGTTGTACTCTATCACTCTATAATGCCTTACTTCCAAATAATTAGTATTGTAATTTCCAAAAAACACCCAAAAACCCTTCAAACTCCACTTAAGTATCTTATTTTTCTTGCACAAAGACAGTGGGCCAAAGATGCTAAGGGACTCTGATCAAGAGTGTAAAAATGAAAAGACATTCATTTACTAATCAAACAAAGTTTTCTTTGTATTATTTTATAGGAATCTACCACTAAATTAAAACTTTTATTTCTCTTCTTTCTCAGAGCTATGAATTACCACACTCAGTGGTAATGGGGGTGAGGAAAGAGTTCTTAAAATCATAACACCTGGACAAGTTCTGATGCTGCAAAACTTGCTCACTTCCTGGCATTGTAGCACTTATACCCATCATTTAGTTACATCATCTACAGTTTGGAGATGGGAATAAAAATGCCAGCCTTATAGTCCTAATAAGATTGTGATGCTCTAATACGAAGCTGTATGCCAGAGGAAAGTCAGAAGTGAAATTTGAAAAGCCAAAGTGTTGTTAGTTCATGAAGAGTTTTTGCCCTGTTGCTGTATTAATGGAATCAGATCTTTAAAGATCTCATTGCAAATAATTACTTGAAGTACATAATAATCCTGTTCACTTCTCAGATTTTTCCCTGCTTCAAAATCTTGAATTTTTTTTATTTTTATGGGACAGCACTCAACCGAGCCACACTGGCCAGGGCCAAAATCTTGATGTTTATATGCAGTCTGTATGTAGATTTGTGCATATGCTTGTGCTTAGAGAAGACGAGAAAGACTATACACCAAGATGGTAACAGTGGTTATCTTTGAAAAGGAAAATCAAAAGTAATTGTTTTTCTAGTGGAATAAAGTTTTCTACCTTTTCTCCTACACAGAGAGATTACTTTAGATTAACTCTTAACAGAAAAAAATTGTAGTGTATTTTATTTTATGCTGAATTACTTTACAGTATGAGAACAGAGATCACATCCCCATGTGATTCATAAAACAATGACCTACCTAATGTCACAAAATAATTTACAGGTAGCATCATAAACATGTAGCAGTCTCTCAATTCCTCTCTATTAGAAGTACTAAAGCCCGGCTGGGCATGGCTCAGCAGTTAAGCATCAACCGTATGATCCAGGAGATCATGGTTCAATTCCCAGTTAGGGCACATGCCCAGGTTGTGGGCTCGGTTCCCAGGTGGGGCCTGCAGAAGGCAGCCAGTTGATGACCCTCTCATCATTGATGTTTCTGTCTCTCTCCCAAATCAATAAAGATATACTTAAAAACAAAAAAAAAGAAGTACTAAAGATTTTAAGACGTGGGTGGGTGTATGAACAAGTTAGAGGTTAAGACAAAAGAGAAAAATACTTTCGGGGAAGATGTCATGGGATTAGAAAATAGTCTTACGATTTACCCATTTAAAATAAAAATTAAGAGTTATGTATATAACCAGAGTTGCCAATTTTTTCATTCATTAATGGAAAGAGAAAATGAATAAACAATTAGCACTTACCTTTCCCAGTATTTGTGATTCAGGTCCAAAAAGTCATCTAATTTTGCTATTTCCTTGAGGTACTGAGTTAATTTTAAAAGTTCTTTGTCTTTATCTCGATTTAGGTGCGCTTTCATAAAAGGCCTTATCTATTAGGAAACAAACAGTACCCAACATTTCACATTGCAATATGAAAACCAGTACAAATATACACTATTCCATCATTTAGAGTTAATGAGATTAAAATATCACCAAGGATGTCATACGAATTCCACCTAATTTACCTTATGTTACCTTCTCAGTCTGAACCCAAAACACCAGCATAGCACTTGAACCCTGTGTGGCTTCTCTTCTTTGCATAACTGCTTAGACTTTTCCCCTTTCTATCAATCCAGCTGCTTCTTACTAATTGAATAATTTTATTCATATCACTTCATTCATAAAAAGTTAACCCAAATACAAGCTTGATCTAACATGGGAGATAAACTTTTAACACTGATATTTTCATTTCATTATTTTTCTATATAATTTTTATATAGCTAAGATATAATACATTTTTATAACCTGTTTCCTCTCTCATTTTATCTTAAGCATCTATCATTCAAGTCTCCATAAAAAACCTTTTTAATTATACAAGAGTTTTCCCATTAAAATAGTCATATTTTCCAAATTTTACAATTAATATAATTTACAATAAAATTTTTAAGGTTGATAAATTTTGATTCATTTTAAAAGCACAAAAGTCAAGTTGGTAGGCAGGGTGAAGGATTGTAATTAGTAAGGGGTATTATATCTTGAGTGGCAGTTATATGTGTTATCTTTATCACAATTTGGTAAACAAATTTTATACATGTTTCTTGGTTACAGTTCAATAAAGAGTTTTGCTTTTTCAAAGACATCAGCTCAGCCTGGCCGGTGTGGCTTAGTGGCTGATCGTCGACCCATGAACCATGAGGTCCCCCATTTGATTCCTAGTCAGAGCATATGCCCGGGTTGCAGGCTCAATCGCCAGTAGGGCCATGCAGAAAGCAGCCAATCAATGACTCTCTCATCACTGATGTTTCTATCTCTCTCTCCCTCTCCCTTCCTCTCTCTCTAAAATCAATAAAAATATATTTTAAAAAAAATAAAGACAACAGCTCAGGTATCTTTATAACTCAAAGACAGCCTTTCAAATTTTTAAATTAATTTTAGATAAAATTGTATGCCTGGAATTTGTTTCAAAATGTTAGAGGGAGGGAAACAGGTAGGGTATAGAGCAAACGTAATCATACATGAATTAGTAAGTTGTTTAAATTGGATGATGCCTACATGGGGGTCTTGTTATACAATTCTATGAAGTTCCATTTACATTTGGACCTCTCCATTATAAAAAATATATTAATCAGAGTACTCAGTAGAATCACTAAATCAGAAGGAATTCCTAGAAATACACAAGTCACCACCCCCCAAAATTCTAGTTTGGGAGAGGTATCTTTGTCTCCTTTTGAAAACTTCTTTCAAGAAGGTATTTATTAATGATCTGCCTACAATGACATAGAAGCGGTTTTGAAATTGAGAAGTATTCTGAAATACTGTGTTTTCTTATCATGGTTTCATGCTTTTGATAGAAATCTCAAAAGAAGACTTTAGAGACCTTAAACATAAGACTGCTTATTTTATTTATTTATTTATTTAGTTTAAAATATTACAGCTGTCCCTTTTTCTCCCCAATGACCCGTTCCACCCCATCCCATCCCTCTCCCCAGTCGCTCTCCCCACCATTGTCCGTGTCCTTGGGTTGTGCATATATGCATATAAATTCTTTGGTTACTCTCTCCCCCTCCACCCACCTGCCCTCCTCCATCCCTCTGACATTTGTCACTCTCATCTATGCTTCCATGTCATTGAATCTATTCTGTTCATCAGTTTATTAAGTTCTTTAGATTCCACGTATAAGCGAGATCATGTGATATTTGTCTTTCGCTGCCTGGCTTATTTCACTTAGCATAATATTCTCCAGGTCCATCCATACTGTCCCAAAGGGTACGAGATTCTTCTTCTTTACAGCTGCGTAGTATTCCATGGTGTAAATGTCCCACAGCTTTTTTATCCACTCATCTACTGATGGGCACTTGGGCTGTTTCCAGATCTTGGCTGTTGTAAACTGTGCTGCTATGAACATCGGGATACATATATTCTTTCTGATTAATGTTTCAGGATTCTTAGGATACATTCCTAGGAGTGGAATCACTGGGTAAAAAGGCAGCTCCATTTCTAATTTTTTGAGGAACCTCCATACTGTTTTCCATAGTGGTTGCACCAGTCTGCATTCCCACCAGCAGCGTACCAGGGTTCCCCTTTCTCCACACCCTCACCAGCACAAGTTGTTTGATTTGTTGATGGTGCCATTCTGACAGGTGTGAAGTGATACCTCATTGTGGTTTTAATTTGCATCTCTCTGATGATTAGCGACGTTGACCATTTTCTCATGTGTCTCTTGGCCATCCGTATGTCCTCTTTGGAGAAGTGTCTATTCAAGTCCTTTGCCCATTTCTTAATTGGGTGGTTTGTCTTCCTCTTGCTGAGTAATATGAGTTCTTTGTACACTTTGGAAATTAGCCCCTTATCAGATACATCCTTGGCAAATATGTTTTCCCAGACCGTGGGGTTCCTTTGTATTTTGAGGCTGTTTTCTTTTGCTGTACAGAAGCTTTTTAGTTTGATGTAGTCTCATATGTTTATTTCTTCTTTTGTTTCTCTTGCCCTAGGAGATGTATCAGTGGAAAGTCCACTACATGGGATGTCTGTGACTTTACTGCCTATGTTTTCTTCCAGGATTTTTATGGTTTCATGACTTACATTTAAGTCTTTTATCCATTTTGAGTTAGGACTGCTTATTTTAAAGTTAACTTTTAATAATATAAACTTGCTAATCTTAAGGTTTGAAATGTAATATAGAAGGCATTGTGAATGATGAATATAGTACTGAACTAAAAGAATGTGAATTGTGGTCATGGATAAATTGACTTATACTCTGAAAATTCCATTTTTATTATCTGTACAAGGAAATGATATATAAGAGAATTCAGATAATCTAGACATTTTTAAATTCCTAAAAATATTTTTTTCATATGAGCAACAATGGCCATATATGTTGCCTGCACTGCTAATGAGCACTTAGGCCTTTTCTGAAAATGGTACAGTAAGCAGTAATTATACTGGAAGGAAAATCAACTAGGTGAATAGAGGATTTTTTTTTTTTCATTTAACTAGTTTATTAACTTTTAGACTCCGGATCATTGTGTATTTTAGTTTTGTTGCTTAATAGTGCCCAAGACCAAATGGTTGGAAAGTAAAAGTAACTTAGTAGGGTCTTGGATTGAAAATCTTATTTACCAGCCACTGGACTCTACTTTCTCTTTCAGTTTAAATCCCCTTCCTGCTTTTAAACTTGGAATCAGTTTGGTACATTGTTTATTAATAGTTTAAAAATTACTATGTTGCCTTTACATTTTCAGTTGAATGAAGGAATACAACAAAACATTACAATATACTCACTGCACTACATCCAGCTCTAAATATGAAAAACTAGAAATTTATATGATCATCTCTGCATTCAAGGATGAGTAGGGCCCAAATGCTGGTTGGGAAAATAAAAGTTTTTTAAACAGACATGAAACTAATGAATAGATGTTAACTAGGTTTACTGCAGTGATCACTTTGCAATAAATACAAATATCAAATTATTATGTTGGACACATGAAACTAATATTAGACCTCAATTAAAAATAATTTTTTAAAAATCATTCCTTGAATATCATAACTTCACCTTCTTTCCAATACACGTAATTATCACTAGTTTCATACAGAATTCGGTTTGGAGCACTTGAATCTTTTCTTAAGACTGAAGAATATATTTTTGTACCTTATACCTGGTAAACTACACACAGGAAAAGCACTTCTCCTACAGCCTCAGAGAGAAGCCATTTTTAAAGGGTGACATAACCACCAATCTACCCCAAGTACTTTCTTTCAAGTCAACAGCTTTTATATTTGTGGCAATTCACTACCTAGATTAGCATTCTGTCCCTAAACTATCCTCATTGTACACAAAGGACAACATCAACAGTCTGTAAGGAAAGCTTCAAAAATGTACTTGCTTCAAATTTTTCTCTTCTCTTTTAAAGATCTTAATGTCAAGATTTCCACTTCAAATGGAGACTCTATTTGCATTAGAACCGTAATACAGAGCTATCTTTTCCACCTTCATATTGTACTGACATGGGCAAACATAGGTGCCAGAAATCTTAAGTTTCAAATTCCTCTCTTAATAATTTTACACTGCTACCTGGATTAAAAGTCACTATTATGCCTACCCAAGATTGCATGTGACCTCATGCTAAGATCACCACTGCCCTAGGAACCAAGTCACTTAGACTCTAACTCAAATTCTATCATTAACCAGTTACATATATGATCTTAGACAAGTCATGAACTTTCTGGTCCTCAGATTGTGTCCATAAAGAAGGGAGATGACCTTGGTTCCTTCTAGCTCTGGCATTTTATAATTCTAAGATCTCCACTTATCCTGTATTAATTTTCAAAACCTTTTCTTAGTTTCATTTAAAAACAAAAAGACCAAAAAACCCTTACTGCCAGCTTTCCAGATAACTAGAATATAACAAATTCCAAGATTTGTATCCCTAATTAATAAGATGTCTGATGCTTTCACTTTTGTCACTAAAAGTCAATGGTTAGTAAGCTTATGTTGCTCCACAAATTTAATTAAAAATAAACCACCTGGATGAGTTGGCTAACCAAGGAAGCAGTGTTCAATTTTATATACATTTTTCTAAATATTTTCTTGTAAGAATAAAGTACTTCCAAAAATGTATGAAATTCCACAGTGTTAAAGTTCTACTACATATTCCAGGTTACATGAGCACAGCAAGTAAAATTATGTTTTACCTTTAGTCCATTCTGTGGGTTCATTAGAAAATTTCTTCCTATGTCATCAAACATAATGGTGTTCTTTTTGCTGTAAAACTCCGAAAACTTTCCCCATATAACACCAAGAGGCTTCACCTTAGAATAAAAGTTCAGATTTAACTCAAATTTTATCAACAGTTCACACTTTCTTAAAAGCAGAGATAATGCAAAATGCCCTGCAGCTACACGGCTGTAAGAAAGGGACAGCTGGCTGTGTCAACAGCCCAGAACTGATGCAACATGCTTGAAAGCACAACGTATCTCGAAATGTTAACTTCTGAAAGATCTATTCACGTCTAACTGAACTGAACCCCATTATAAGACTTTCCATAATTTCAACATGAAATTTGGGGTCAAAGGCATAGTAATTGTTTAACTTAAAGAGAATCTAAAGTAATGGTTTAGATGTCTGCTGAGCAGTCACATGACTTTCTGGGCTAATACTTCCCCCTCAGAACTTGAGGGTCACACGCAGTCTGTTCTCAAAACTAGAAAACCTTAATGATGGACAATGTACCTGGCTCTTTTAATACAGAATTTAAATATTACAGTAAAACTGATTTTTCTTTAATTCAGTGGCATAGGTACATAATTTCTAGGGCACTTGATTGCCTAACTTTAAAAGCACCATAATTTATAAGTTGCTTTTATTTTTGCATTCTTAAAATGAGCCTTCAAGAAGATTAATTCCTTACACATTTATATCTGTTGGTACTTGTGTTAGGTCTGTAAGACCACACAAGAAATAATAGTGATTTCCTGTGGAAAGGAGGGTGAAGTGGCTGGAAGGCCCAAGTGGGAGGAAGATTTCTCTTATGTACATTTTATTTTGAATCATGTGAATGTATTTTACACATTTAGAAAAATAAATTTTTAACAAATTAATTTTTAGTGGTGAAAATACATTTTGATGAAGGCAGGAGTCTCATTTATGGTAATATGAGATTATAATGTAATAGTAATTATGAGATTAAATAACAGTAGTAAATGGTGACAAGGGCTGTCATTTAAAAATGTTAAGTTTTGCCCTGGTCAGGTGGTTTAGTTAGTTGGAGTGTCACCCTGTATGCCAAAAGGTTGTGCATTTGATTCCAGATCAGGGCACATACCTAAGTTTCTGGTTCGGTCCTGGGTAGTACTGGAGGCAAGTGATCAATGTTTCTCTCAAATCAATGTTTCTCTCTCACCCTCCCTCTCTTTCTCCGAAATCAATAAACATATCCTCAGGTGAGGATTAAAAAAAAAATGTTTTCTTTTTCTCCTTCTATAATTTAATGTAAAGAAAGCCTATTTTCTTCTTAGTGCCCTAGATACAGCAAAGAATATTAAAATATTTTAATTTTATTGAAATTTTATTTGGCCCTGGCAGGTGTGGGTCAGTGGTTAGAGCATCGACCCATGCACCAATGAGTCTCAGGTTCAATTCCCAGTCAAGGGCATGTACCTAGGTTGCAGGTTTGATCCCCAGCCTAGTAGGGGTGTGTGCAGGAGGCAACCAATCAATGTGTCTCTCTCACATTGATATTTTTTTCTTTCTCTCCATTTCTCTCTCTGTCCCTCTCTCCCTCCCTTCCACTCTCTAAAAATCAGTGGAAAAAATATCCTCAGGTGAGGAGTAACAAAAAAACCAAAATTTTATTTGCCTGAATTTGTTTGTGCTACTTGTTTACTAGTGAAACAAACCCCTCAAATACTTGAAGACAAATATACATGAGCTGACACAATTAGCCAGATTCTTGGTTTTCTTGACTAACAAAGTCTCAAGAAATATGACAAGAGCTTTATGACACCCAGGGTTAGGAATCCTACATCCTCTTAAGCAGTGTTGACATTTTGTAATTAGGTCAAGCACCAGCTGTTCCCCAAACATGAACTACTTTGTTCTCAATTAGAGAAGTAATATTGCTGACTGTAAAAAAAAATCTGAAAACACAGAAAAGCACAAAGGAAATTTTAAAATTACTTATAACCCAGTTAATACTAAAGATAACTAGATATTCTGATAAAATTATTTACCTTCAGTCTTTTTTATAAACAGCAGCGACCTCAGAGAGTTCACAGATCTTTTGTTAAGCTAAGGGGAACTCTGAACCAAACAGAGGTTAGAACTATTTTCTATCAGTTTTCAAATACTGCTCTATAAAATACTTCTTTCATTTCAATGATGTGTCATAAAAAAACTTTAAAGCACTAAATATTCTACATTATATGATTTAGCTGTGTCCCATTATATGGATAAACAAAAATTTATATTCCAATTTCCTGTTGTCAGGCAGCAAGGATTTTCACCCCTGTGATTTGTCACTATTATAAACACTACTATGTTTAACATTTCCCAAACTTCCTTTAGTGTTTAGATTTTATCAATGTACCACTTCAGTAGAAAATATTTTGCCTGTGATATATGTAGTATATTTCCTTTATTGAGCTAATTCCCATGCACTTAAACATTCTATTTATATTTTGACAATTTTAATAGTCTTTCCTAAGCTTTCTTAGAATGCTAAGTTCTCCCCAATTCCTATTAGTTTGTGTGTTTCCAAAAGGGACGGATCATGTCTCATCTCTTTATTCCCAACAGTGCCCATCATGGGGCCTTGCAGATAGGAGTTCAATAATATGACTAGTTACTTGACCGTAAATAAAGTGAAGAACCCTAATCTTTTTAGCCCAATCCTTTTCTCTGATGTCTCTTGTTGCTCTTCTCTGGGGCTTCACATACATCACTCCAAAGTACATGTTATCATGATGTATATGTCTTTATTTACCAGTTTCACATAGGGCATGGCAAGTCTGTTTTGGTTTGTTTTTAATATCTCCCTTGATGATAGTATTTTTTCACACCTACTGTGTCTTTAGCAACACTGTGCTGCCATCATCTTGGGACAATTATCCATGATCTTTCTTGACCTTTCCTGCATCAAGATGCTTAATTTTATAATTAAAATTCAAATCTATTAAATTCATCTTCCTAAGTCAAAACTCAACTAATACTTTAATATCCACTCAGACGTATTTCTAAACTCTTTCTATAGTTTAGTCCATCAATATAAATGCAAAAGTACATTTGAAAATAAACAAGTCTTTAAATAAAAGTAAAGTAACTTCTTACATCTATTAATCCTCTCCTTGGCGTATGCACTGTTATCATAGCAGCACTGTCCAACATGAAGGTAATCTTATAATTTGCATTTGTGCTCACTCCCAGCTCCTATAAATACAAATATTCATGTGGTTAAAATATAACAACGTAGAAAATGCCAGGCTTTGAGTTTTCCAGCTACAATTTCCCATTAATGCCAACTTTCTACCCCCTGGCCACCACCTCTTGCTTAACAACTGTCAAGTATTTTAGTTTCACTTAGCTAAGTCAATAAATGGCAGTCCAAAGAAAAAACCTACAGACAGATTACCACCCAATTTATTATTTTAGACAGCATCACTCCTTTAAGTATCTCAAACCAGAACAAAGAAAGAAAAGAAAGCATTATCATAAAATGAGAACAGAAAGGGGAGCTCTGCTGTACTTTTTCTTGAAAAAAACACAGGTATTCAATACAATCCACCATCAGACTTTAAACAGCTCTAACTCCTGATACTGTTTTATTAATCTACTAAATGTCCTCCAATGAGAATTAAATTAACTCAACTAGAAACTTTAAAAAAAAAAATGCAGTTTCAAAACATTCTCAAATGGACTGTTTTCTGATACTTACTTTCATTTTAGCTTCAATCCACTTCATATTTGTTGCAGCTAAACATGAGGAATGATAATACAAGACATATGAAAAGCCTGAATTTCATTTAAAAAAACCTTTCTTCTGTATAAATAAAATCAGTTAAGTTTTCTAAGCAAGACTAAAAGTTCAATAAATTAGGTATTTGTGGTTAATTTTCCTTTAAGTATTTATTTTTAAAGAAAAGCATTTTAGTGTGTCTTTAAGACGGAATAAAATTTAAACTACTACTTTTATCTAAGATACAGGTAATCAATGCTCAAAAGAACTCTGAACCTAGTAAGTTTATAAATCAAGACTTAAATTCTCTTTAAAAAAAAGTTTGATACTATTCTCTATCAGTTCCAAATTTAAATTTAGGGTGTCTGGATCCCCATTTTCTTCTATCCAGGCAATGCACAAGTATATATGTCAACATATGCAGATATTATGCGTCAAAAGTTAATGTTAAAGATTAGCCAGCTTCAATGAATTTTGCCAGGTTCAGCAAACTCAGTGCTCATTGCATCTAGCAGCTCTTAACAGGAAGTCTGAGACAACTAAATTCATAAATTGATCTATGTTATGTATCTGCTTATTGTCTGACACCAACCAGTTTTGAGATCAATGATATTAAAATATAAACCCTCACCTTTATGTGCCTTCCTGGTCTCAAGTTACTGGAATAAACCAAACAGGTATTACCAAGAAAAATGTTTAAAAGGGGAAAAAGGAGTTCAATTATTTAAAGTGTGTGTGTGTGTGTGTGTGTGTGTGTGTGTGTGTGTATGTGTATCTGTATTTTTTTAAGGGCAATAGAGGTAACTGTGTCCTCAAAATAAGCATCTTTAGCACACACACACAACCAAAAGAATCACCTTTCGTGCAAAACTGGCCAGCTGAACTAAAATTTTAGAGACTGGTGTATCTACAATGACAACAATCATGAGAGGAAAAAATTTTTAATTCATTATACATTTTAGATATATAATTTTCAAATGAAAAACAAAAAGATTCACAGGTAATAAAAAGGGTTTCTACTTACTAAATAACTATTTTATGCCAGACATAGTATTAGATACTATACCGGTATGTTTACTCTTACAACTACCCTGTAATACAGGTTTATTTATCTTCATTTGTCAGATGAGGAGACTAAGGCTCAGACAGATTAACTGACTTTCCCAGTATCACATAGTAAAGACAGAGCCAGAATTAAAACCCTACTCTACTTAGTGCCAATATGAGGTGCCCTTTTCAACATACTACCATGAAATTTCATAATTTGTAAAATAAATTATTTTAAATATATGATTGCAAAAAGTTCTCTAAATTTCTAAATCTACTTTAATAATATTTAGAGGATAAACTTTTTTCTCAAATGTCATCTCAGGTAACAGAGCTGCTAAACAAAAATTTGTTTCCTGGGAAGCTTTCTGCTGTGTCTTACAAACCAGAAAATTACAAATTTAAATATTTAATCTTAATGGCAGTGAACTCAAATTATCACTGAACAATGGAGATACTCAAATTACAAGGAAAAGTACAAAGGAAATTTACAGATTGAAATACAACTATGTGGCCTCTCATCAAAAACCTAGTACAATTAAATGTGGCATCTATAATTGATTGGATTTTATTTAACTCACACTCAGGACAGCTCTTCTCTGCTTATGATACTGCCAGAGGCAAATTTAAATGTTTGTGGGAAGGTGAGATGTAAATCAATATACTGCTTCCTTTTCAAGAAAGTCTTGCCACAAAAAAATTGTCAATTGAACTAAACAGTGTGCTCAGTAACATAGTAAATTTACTTTTCGAAGCAAGCTCATTACTTTTATCTTATCACAGACATCTAAGTTCCTGGAATGGTCCATAGACCACAAATGGGAGTTAACACTGCTTTAGTCTAGTCATTAATTTCCCTTAAATTCACATCGCCTCTATTTCTGAAGAAACACATCACTGTGATTTTTAAAATAGCATATCTTTCTCCAAGTATTTTGAAACTAGAGTGATGAAGAAAGAAAGCAACAATATCCTGAAGCATCAAAGATTCTATAGTAAAGATCAGAAAGAAAAGTTCCTAATGGGGGGTTCGGGGGATAGAGGTATCTTAGGAAAATAAGGCCATTTTAATTCTGACACCATAATCTACTCTCTTCTTATATTTAACTATTTCAACGGTATTTGGCAACTATATATGTTTATGTTGTGATGCAAGAAAGTCAAACATGATTACTAAAATTTTGCTAAAACAAGTGAAAAATGTATATTTAAACACAGGTCATTTTAAGTGATATTTTATAAATCAGAAAAATATAAGGAACCACCTTACTTCCATGGAAATCTAAACAAAAAAAATATAGCTTACACCAAATAACAATGTCATAATCTTCATATGCAGATGTTAGGAATTCATGAAGATATGGCCGCATTAATTCTACCCCAGTCTCTGCACAAGACCTATGGTCTAAAAAGAAAACCAGTCATAGGTGATTATTAGTTTATATAGTAGACAAGTACCTAATATCAATTAAACTTAGGAAATGTAACATAAACAATCAAATGCAAGCTACTTCAGAATGCATTCCACTGGCTGACAAAGAGATGTCTTCAAAGCAGACAATGTAATATCCTTACGGTCCAACTGTAATTGATCAATTCTGTTCAATTTGTGAAAAGCAATAGCCAGAACTCAGGCTTATATAGTAAAATATAATTTTGTCATCTAGTTTCTAGAGCAGCAGTGGGGAACCTTTTTACTGCCAAGGGCCACTTGGATTTTTATAACATAATTCACGGGCCACACAAAATTATCAACTTAAAAATTAGCCTGCTATATTTGGTCAAACATTTAATTAACTCACCCCTAATGTAATGGTTGAAACAGCTTCTCTTTGGGGAGGTCTTGGCAGTGCAGGCCCTTGGGCCAGACGTTCCCCACCCCTGCTCTAAATTGTAGATGTTACTTTATAATATGAAAAACAAACTAGGGCTATGTATACTCACTTTTAGGCATTCACCTTCCAGATATAATCATATTTCACCAAAACGACAGGCCCAATTAACTTATAATCAAATTTAAAAACAAGTGTACATTAACTTACTGCATGTACTTAAAGTTTAGGATAGAGTTAAGTAAATTCATTCTAATATCAGGAGTTAACTAATCATTTCTTGACGATATTAGGGGATGAAATGCATATCTTTCTTTTTCTGTTGACATGAAAAATTTTTAATTCAAGAATCTAACCTGAATATAATTAAACAGAAACCAGGGATAAAATATAGAAAATGATTTTTAAATGATCCTTATAAAAATTTGAATGTTAATCAATAATGAATAACTTGGTTAAATTACTATGCACTCATAAACTAGAATTCTGTGTGACAAAAATGTATATGTTTAATTCACAGTGAATAAGACTGAATGAGAGATTCAATATATTATTAAGCAAAAGTAATAAAGATATACATACAAATACACCCTTGAAGACACACAAAAATATAAGTATAAGAGTGTTCATCTTTGGGTCTTAGGATAACAGATGACTTCTTCTTATTCTTATATGTTTTCTACAATGAATCATTTACTTTTGTAACAATAAGAAAAGCTTTCAAATATTTCACATTGCCAGGAAAAAATAAACATACAAAAGGAAAAAAAGTTGTGGATAACAGATGAAATACAATTTTAGCTGACTTACCAAATAACGTATAATCAACATCTAGTACCAAAAGCTTTTTCCCTTCCCTGGGTGGATTCAAAATTTCTACTTTATACTCTTTTACTCTGCGAGAAATTTTCAGTAGGTTTTCTTCCCTAATGGAAAAATAAAATCAGATGAAATATTCACTTTTTCTCACATTATAAGCAATTTCCTTTGATAGTGAAAAGCACTTACCTATTTTCTACTTCAACTACTTCATCTTCAATATCAAAGTCATTGACAACATCATCATTGTCAGGAGGTGGACCTAAGACATCTTCCTATTAAGATGAAAATGTTTTCTTTTACCGTGTTATCTTTAACATAAAAAATACATGCATAGTATAAAAAGCACAAATGAGAGATTGAGTTTTTCAAGCACACTGTGGGAAAATTTTAACATTTTATAATTTGTTATAAACGTTCACTGGACAGATTTGCCATGCTAAATTTGACCATTTGCACTACTGCTATACTTACAGCTAACCATATACTAACAAGTTCCCCCATATTTGTTTTCTGCTGAGTTAATATCACATTCACCACGCAGCTGCTTTTTTTTTCATTGACTGCTAAACTGACAATTTTACCACAATCAAAACTATGATACAGAAGTGTAATATAAATCATAATATCTTCAAATGGACAAATGGTAACAAAAGTAAACATTTACCAAGCTCTCCTCACGAGTTCCCATCATCATGATTTTAGTATTTGGTTTCAGTTTGAGAGCTCCAAGCTTAACATCATTTTCTGCAGGTTTGCCTACAATACAAGCAAATGACTGTTTTCTCACTAAAGTTCAGGTGCTGGTTTCACTATCCCATTATACAAAACCCTAACATTAAAAGATTCGGTACAGATCCCACAGCAGTTTTTTTCTTTTTCTTAGATTATTAACAAACTGTTACTGCTGAATTAGGCATTTCTAACACACTAAGTACCAACTAATACAAGCTTTGATTTTTTTCCCAACTATGTCTTAAGGAACACCCTTACTCAACTTACTAAACAAAAAAAATTCATGGTTTGTTTTGTTCAAGATGAAGATAGCTGTTTTCCAGAGAGTCTTGAAAATTGCACACCTAAGATAACTACAGGTTTAATGCTACTCAAAACACACCCTTCAATGATATGACACAATCACTGTGAAAGTCCTTTTTATACTGAATATCAACAATGCCTATAATTGCTAATCATCATTTTAAATCACCATTTCTTTCAAATCAGAAAAGATAATTTGGGGAAAGGACAAGGCTCAAGCTATAATGAAAACTTGTGCTGAAAGGCAGATGTCAAAACTTACACTGTTTTACCTGGGACTTCTGTGCCAAACATTTAACAAGCAAACACCAAGTATCGGAGGAATCAAAAGTAATCTTAATCCTGGTGGTATTTTCAACTAACATTTAATATTCTTTCTTGTATCATAAAACAATTTCAAGAATAGCCCTATCAAAGAAATCTCCCAAGGGGACTTATTAAAGAGAAAAGATAATAGCTAATATAAAAAATCCACATCAATGCAGAAGATCTGACATGAGGAATTAATTACCTTTAACTTTAAGTCCAAGTAATTTCTGTCGTTCTGGTAGCACTCCTGTAAGGGTCTTGAGAAACTGTTTGAGATCCAGCACAGTATCGTCTTCTGACAGTGTAGTCACTGAATATTCCTGTCCACCCCATTTTACAATGATAGGGAGAGCCATCCTTGAAACATATGTTGATACAGCTTTTGTTCAGAAAAAAATACCTAGAAGAAAGGCATATACAAATAAACAAGTTAAAATAAATATATCGAAGATGTATACAAACCTGTAACTTAAGTTTTATGAGCTGTGCAGTTTGGGTTCTATTTTACAACTTGCTGGTAGAGAAACAGGTAACAGTAGTGTTACCAGAATGCCAAAAGTTATTTGGACTCAAAGTTAAAATTCCCCCAACCTTCCAATTTTGGGCTTAAAGTTACTATTTCCTCATATTCTAGCAAATTCCCTCTGTTCAGCTGGAAAGTTGCAATAATGAGCTACCTGCCCCTCCCTCTCTGTTTGATCAGGTTTATGCTACAGGCAGGTTTCTCCATGATCAACCATTGTTCATTTAACACTTGAGAGGTAACAGTGAGTCATTAAGAGCACAAACTCTACAGCCCGATTATCTGGGTTCAGTTCCCAGCTCTTCCACTTATTAACTATTTGACTTTGGGAAGTTACTTGAATCTTAGTGCCTGGGCTTCCTCATCTGCAAAACAGAAATACTACCTACATCTTAGGGTTCTTAAGAAGATTAAATTAGTTCATATATATAAGTAACACAGTACCTGGAACACAGTAACATTACGTAAGTACTGGTTAAAATGTTTTTGTTTTTAAATATATCTTTATTGATTTCTGAAAGGGGGAAAGATAGAAACATCAATGATGAGTCACTGATTGGTTGCCTCCTGCACGCCCTGCACTGGGGATGGTGCCCGCAATCCCGAAATGTGCCCCGACTGGGAATTGAACCACAATCTCCTGATATTAACTGCTGAGCCACGCCAACAGGGCTAAATAAAATGTTTTAAATAAGACTATAACTGAAGTGTTCCAGGCACTGTGCTAAATAAATAGTAAATGGCCATTATTTGTTTCATATTTAATACACTGGACAGTTTTTATGGAGACAATCTCATTTAACAAGGTTGTTTGATAAGAACTGTCCCACTTTTACAATGAAAGAAACCAGAGTTCAGAGAGGTTATGTAACCTGTTCATGGGCACACAGCTAGTAAGAGAACAGGTCTTCTGACTAAATATCATGTGTTTTCCCCACTACCACTGTCTCTCTTGAATTGGACCATCAATAAATACAAAACACACAGGTACCTATATAAGCACACAAAGATAAGATAGCAGCTGCTATTCTATATCAACAACAGCATGTAGATATCCTCCTCCATAAAGCTTATTACCAGTTTTCATAAGTCTGTTCCCCTCACAGGTCAGAGAATGAATTTTCTAATATCAAAATACTGGTATTTCCAAATGCTATCACTTATTTATTGAAGCCTTTCACTGTACTCTTCATGTATTACAACCAACTGCAAGAAAGAAGGCAAATTCTTAATATGCAAAAAAATTAAAATCTTAACATGCAAAATTAAAATCGTAATATGCAAAAATAACCTGAAAACTTAAGGTGTCAGGTGTCTTCAACAGGCCCATTAAGAGAGCACCACAAATTACCTTATATTTACTCTCTTATGTTTACAACCTGCTCTACTAAAAATTTAAGTAAAGCGTTACTTCAAAGCAACGTATTTCATTTTAGAATGAACTTGCTCTAACAAATGTTATGATCCTCAATAAAAAGCCAAATAGGCCATCTGAATCCAATTGAAATACAGTCCTAATTTTATTACACAGATTAGAAAACTCAAAAAGAAGTAAAACAACTTGCCTAAGACCACACAACCAAAAAGTATTTTGCAAAGGCGTAAATTTTAAAGTAACAACAGCAAAAGTTAACTTAGGAATTTAGGGGAGGGGGTTATCTTTTCAACAAGCCTAGGAAAAGGTATATAAAGTACTACTGTCAACGCCTAGCCAGGACAGCACAACAGCAGCAACCGAGAGCCAGTGCAGAGGCGAGAGTTGTGGGAAGGGACCGGTAAGGAACAGCCTAGAAAGCAGGCAGAGACCCCTAAGTCCAAGCGGGCCGGGGTGTCAACAGGGAGAATGATGGGGAGAGAAGTTCAAACCCTCGGGGACGCAAAGCCCACTGGTCCGCGGGGAGGCCCTAACCCTAGGCGAGGAGGCCGGATGGGAACCGGCGGCCCCTGCGACCCGCGGGCCAGGGCCGGAGGCCTGGGCGCGAGACTAGCGCAGACGCGGCCCGGGGCGCCCACGAGCAGCCCCCAGCCCGCCGCAGCCAGCGGCAGTGGAGGTCCCGAGGGCAGCAGAGCTGCTGTCCCCAGGGCCCGCGGCGCCTCTGCGGGCAGCACGCCAGGATGCCCCGAGTCCCCTCACCTGGAGCGCAGCGGGACCGTCTGCGGCGAACGCAGGAACCGGCCGCAGCGGAACGCAAGGCACCGGAAGTGAAAGGCCGGGACTGGAACCGGCCGACGAACCGGAAGCTAGAGGTTAAACCGGAAACGCGCTGGAGACCGGGCAGCTGTTTCTCTTGTCTCCCTTCGGGTAGTGATGCTCGATAGCTGCTGCCAAGGATTTCCACGTGGTGACGAGGAAGCAAGGCCTTTCCCAGACTGTGACCGCTGTGCAGACGCGTACGATCTCTGGAAGGCTGCCGGCTCGCATCTGTTCTGCGCATGCGCCAGTGTGCAGGGTCCGCGCCACGAGGGTGTTTCGGGTGTGTGACGTCTCGGGTATTGTTTAGCCGAGGCTGAGGTGGGTCGCGGGGAGCGCGCCGCCTTCCCCGGGCGTGCGGAGATCTTCATGTCACGTGGGACTGTTGCTCTTGTTCCGAATGAAGCCTGAAAGGTGACCTTTGAGGACTGAACACTTGAGATCCTTCCCTGGCACCAGCGGCCACCAGCACTAGTAATTTCAACTTAGAAGTCTACCCATGTTACCCAGTCCGGGGGGAACAAGATTGTTAGGAAAGGGAAAGGGGAGCCCTGAGTGACTCAGAGAACCAAGGAAGCAGATCTCAGCGTTGGTAAGAGCTGCCCTGGAGGTTTTTATAGCATTGTGTCAAACCCTATCTCCACCGGGCCATCGCGCCTTCCCTCTGAACGCGCGGAAAGCTCCTTACAAACCCTGACGAGAGAGCTCCAGGCTTGAACGGGAGTTCAGAGCCCTCCCGATCCGGTTCGTACCGCGAACTCCCAGCGCGCATCGCTTGCTGTTAGCCAGAAAATGGAAAAATCAAAATTTCTAGGCGGTTGTGTATAGTTCCAAACAAAACCTAGGTTTTGAAAAGGGGTGGGGGACGAGAAAATAATATTGCCACCACCCCCCCTCCGCCGATATGCACCAGTCCTTGAATTGCCTGAATTTTGCCTTCTACTTGGTAGCGATGTAACATTCTTGGTTCCCTTTTGGCTGTTATGGAACGGAAGCAGAGAGCCAAGTTTTGTTTCTTAACAATGTTTTAGTTAAGATACACACTGTTTTATGTTCTCTTTTCCTCTCTTTTGGTAATTTTTATTGCACTAAATGCATATCTGCTCCTTTTAAAAAACAAAGCGTATTTTCAGAACATATATGCTGTCTTTCCATTAAAAAAAAAAAAAAAAAAGAGAAAGGGAAACCCCCAAATTAAAAGGATTTGTACAAAAATCATGCATTAGCAATCTAGCCAAAGAAATGGTCAAAAGACAAGGGACTGGGCCCTAGAATAAATTATAATTTTCTTTCAACCCAATCTCTTCCTTGTTTATGTCCTAACCAGCTACTTGGCCACTTTATATTTTTTGCTGTTGTGATTAGAGAAGCTTGTTTTTGTTAATCATCAAGGTCAACTTAACTTTGAAACTTAACTAATTCTAAGCAACAGGTTCATAAAGAGGTTTTTTTCAATAATGGAATAGCCATTGTGCAAAGGGTCTGGTAAGTTTGGTATTACTAGAGTGTAGATAATTTAATAATTACCAAGTGTTGAACAGTAAGTAGTATTTCTCAGAGAATAATGGTAGCAGAGTATTCTGGACAAATGGGCCATTTAACAGATGATTTTTAAGTTATCTTTTACCCAGATCTCAGGTCCTCCAAGTCCACTTCTATTTAGCAAAGCATTCGTGAATTAAAAAAAATAATGTCAACAAAACACTTGAAGTAGATTGAAAGATATCATTTGAGTATAGGAACTGGACTTTTGGTAACTAGGGACGAACACAAAGTGGACCTAACAAAGAACTCACAGTAACTCACAACTACCAATAAGAAGAGAAAAATTAAACTTCTGCCTCCCGTTGCTCACTAGAGCCTCTCTTTTAATGCATGGAGAATGATATCCTTGTGCCTCATACTTCTCTCCAGCCGCTAAAGACACCTGGGAATTCCTTCGTAGAGTTTTGAAAGATTGTCAGGTCTAAGAGACTAAAAGAAATAAGGAACCAGTTTCACAAAATCTGTTGCTAAACTTCTATCACTGTGACCCTGTTTGGATTGGAAGACAAAAGGATGTTCCTGTACCCCAGCCAGAAATCCACTACCACCCTGCTTTTATCTCCATCTTCCCTGACCTGTTTTCTTCCTTTCTCTTTCTCTCTTAGGACATTGTCTTCCTCTCCTTCCAGTTGAAAAACAATCCTCTTTTTTTTGTTTTTGTTTAATTTAGTTCACTGTAGCACTTTGTTCTTCGATTGTAATATCTATTACCTTGCCTTTCCCCTGATTGTAATCAGTGAGCTGAAAATGGACAAAATCTGCCTCATAGCACAGACTCTACAGGACCTTAGTTCAGCCTGGCAAGTTTACTACCTTTTTCTATTCAACTGCTCGTTTCCCAAATTCCTACTTTAAAACCTCAACTCTCTTCAAACTTCAGATTTTCCAGTTTACATCCTTGCTCTTGGCAGATGACATCTCATATTTTGCTAAGAAAATAGATCTCAAAGAGGAATTGCTTCAACCTCTAAATCTTCAAAATTAGATCTGCTCTTGTCCTCACTACTTTTGCTTCTGTTGCAGTGTGGCAGCTTCCTTCTACCTGAAGACAACCCTTATATTTGAACTCTGGCTCCTTCTCAGGAAGCTTTCTATAAGTCCAGTACCCCTCTCTCTTCCTCTTGTATTTTTATCTTCTTTCTCTCTACTGGCTCACTTTCATCAGTGATAAACATGGTATCTTGCTATCCTTCCCTTTCCCAGTTGGGTATTTCAAACAAATATCTAAACTTGAGACAATCTATAATTATGTATTTCAGAAAGATTGTTTAATAACTGTTTCTCACTTTGATTTCATTCATTCATTTAACAAGTACTGAGTTCATCCTATGGTGCTGTGAGCATTTTTGGTGTGTATTTCAAAATTTTTCTGTGCATCCAGTCATATACAAATTATAATCATTTACTGATATGTATTTATTATATGTATAGTATGTATTATTATATAATATACTCTCCTTACCTGACATTCTATTCATTCATTATTCATCCACTCAGCAAATATTTATTGAGTACCTGCTTCAGCCAAATCATGCTAGGCTCAGATTATAATGGTGAATAAATTGGACATGGTCTGTTTCCTCACAAAGCTTAGAGCAGCGATTTTCAACCAGTGTGCTGCAAGAATTTTTAAAACGTGCAGTACCTGACTATTCAATCAGGGACACTGACCTCTTTTCCCTTAGACTGTCGAATACAAAAATGAAAACAGCCAACACAACAATAGCCATCTGGTGTGAATGGATCAAAACTATACCTATTTTTGTCTGATTGGCAAAAAATACATATTTTTTTGTGTACTTCGAATTTTAATAATTAGTTTGTGTGTGCCATGAGGTGAAAAGGGTTAAAAATCTCTGGCTTATAGAAAATTTGTCAGGTAATTCCAACATCTTATCTTGGTATTAGCATCTGTTGGTTAACTTTTCTCACTCAAATTGAGATTTTCCTAGTTGTCCGTATGGTGAGTACTTTTCTATCATATCCTGACCATTTTGGGTATTATTACATTCTGAGACTAAATCTTATTTAAATCTTCATTTTCAGCAGACCTCCTCTGACAGTATTGGTCAGGGAAGGGAAATGTCACCTTGTAACTTCCTGGTTGGGGTAGAAGTCCAGGTTTCCTGCTAGGCCTCCTTTGACACCCCACATGGGCAGGAAAGGACACTTCATTACTGTTGTGCAGGGGCAGAAGTTTAGGTTCTTCATCAGGCCTCCACTGACACCACTGTGGTTGGGAGGTAGAGGGGTGCCTTATCACTATTCCCCACTTGGCCGCCACTGATGTTGTGGGAGCTGACGAAGGCAGCTCATTACCACTGGAAGATGGGGAAAGTTCTGGCTTCCCACTCAGCTTCTCTGACACCATCCTGGCAAGGGGGTTGGGGAACTTACAGTCTGGTAAGCGTGAAAGTCTAGGCTTCCCACGGGCTGTTGCTGACAGGTGAGGGTGGGACTACCACTTTTTCTGCCGTATCTGGTTGGAGTGTGGCAACATGTTGGGGGGGCCTTAAAGAACACTCTCATATTCAGTGATTCACTGGGGGACTCACAAGACTCAGAATATAGTTGTATTCACAGACGAGATTTATAGCAAAGGTTATAAAGCAAAATCTCCCAAGTGGAAAAGCTTCTGGAGTGAAGTCCAGAGGAAACCAGCCACAAGGTTCCATGAGTTCTCTCCCAATGGAGTTACCCAGGACACACTTTTTTCCATCAGTGAATTGTGACAACAGGTATGAAGTGTTGTCTTCCAAGGAGGCTTATTAGAGATTCAGTGTTCAAGGTTTTTAGGGGAGGGCCAGTGATATAGGTACCGACTGCCTACCACCAATTCCAGCCTCCCAGAAGGAAAACAGATGTGCAGCTTAAACCACACCCTTTGCATGCACAGTCTAGGCACAGTAAGACACCCTTTAGGGAAACGTTAATATCAGTGCAGGGCACTGTTTACCAGTAAAGTTTCCGGATGCCATACAGAGCAGGACTTTGTATGGACAGCAGACTCAGGCCTTTTTAACTCTTCTGCATGAGTGGTCATTAACTGAGCGTTTTCTCCCTTACTAGGCTACACCTTCCTGGTCCTTTGTCTGGAGAGAACAGGCTTTCGGAGGCTTTTTCTGTCTGTGCCCGCTGACATTTCTGGTTGCCTACATCTTCAGCACCCAGTCTGAGAAATATGAAGCCAAAAGAAAACCTGGGGAACTCACTGCCATGTCTTTCCAGGTTACCAGCCAATCTACCTTTTCTCTACCTTTAAGAGTAATTATATTTGTTTTATAATACATCCAGGGTATTTAGCAATACTTAGCAGAAGCAATGGGAGAAGTACAACTATTGCATATTTTCCGAGAACTGGAAGTCTCTGTATTATTTTTATACTTAAAAATAAAGTGATTTAATGAAAGCAAAACATATGTATATGGCATAAGCTTAATTTTTTTAATTAGAACATTTGATATGAGATCTATTAAAAGAAATTTTAAGTATACAATACAGTATTGTTAAGTATAGGCACAAAGTTGTACATTAGATCTCTGGAACTTAATTTTAAGCCTGAAGTTAGCAGGCTTGATATAAATATAGGTCTAAAAGTTACCAACAGGAGGGGAAAAATGATGACTACTTATTCTAATAGTAAGGTCCATTTTTCCCAATAATAAAAATAATATGTATTCATTATAGAAAATTGATTTTACCTTTTTATTTAGTAAGTAGAATGATAATTTCAAAGGTAATATAAATTATGGGTGGCAGAAGATCAAGATTCACTTAATTTTGCCATTATTTTATAGGGAAAATACGAAGAAAAGAGGAAAAAACAGGAACTAAAACAGGCCTCCATAGATGGCCCTGCGGCAGTGTTTCCTGTACAATGTTAACAGTAAAACCTGTGCTGCTTGTTTATATCCAAAGTCACATGCATGGGAGATAATATCTTCCCAGTCATGGGAGAAATAATTACAAATGTCCCTACCCACAAATTCTAGACTAATGAACTATTTCTGAGATGAAATTTTAGTATAATATATTGCTGCCTAATCAACACTCAATTTGAAATCTTAAACAAGAGCATCAAATTATAATTATGTTGCAGTATTTCACATTATGAGGGCAATTTTCATTTATTTGTTTTTTTATATCCACGGTGACGAATAAGTGGATAAATTAATATCTCCCATGCTTCCATAAATATTAATGAAATGTCTAGACTGTTACAATCTAAACATTTACCACATGACAGCAAACTTTGATCACCAATAAGCTACCTGTAAGGAATAGGCTACCACTATTTTATTCATTACACATCCCGTCATTAGGAAACATTTCTTTAGCAATGCATTATGTGTCCATAGAGCATTAGACAGGGTTCTAGAAGCAGCCTTGCCAAAAATTGTCCTCCTGACCTTGAGGTAACCAATTTCCCCTGAGCTCAATCCTTGTTAATAAAAATGAATTTATTGAATAACAAAAAGATTTTTTTTAATTCTGTATTTCAGAGTCTCTAGGGTTTAATTCAGATGTGCTTTAACAACATTCTATGGACCTGTGCTAGATGATGACATAGTTTCCATCAATTTTCCGCTTGTAAAATGAGAAGTATAAGGATCATATAGTATATTGTTCATAAAGCCAAATGGAAGAATCGTGCTCTTTCTTTTTACTGGTAGCTATTATTACTTCTCTCAAGTATGCATGTATCTTTCCCAGAATTTCCAGAGCCTCATTATTCTTACTGAAATAAACTTATAATTTCCATTTAGTATTTAGAACTTCATTGATAACATTAAAGTGTTACATTTTTTTCCTTGATGCTTTATAAATATTACCTCAACTGATTTGTATTGAAATAGTATTTGTGGCTTTAAATAACAAAACTTAATCAGGCTAGCCTGAGCCAAAGAAGTGGGGAGTGGGGTATTGGGAGGGCACAGTACCTGACACAGAGAACTGGTTGAATGTTTTTGAACTAGGAACCAAGGCAAGTTTAAGTTCCTTTATAATAAGTCCACACATTTTGTCCCTAGAGTACTGCTATTAATATGACATTGACTCTCAGTCTCTATGTGACTTAGCTCCAAATGCCCAAATCCTGGGCTCAAATCTTAATTGGTCTAACTTAGGTCCCATGCCTATCTCTCCACCAGCCAACTCTTCCAAGGACATCAGGTTTTGCCTAAGCCTGCCCGGTCTGCTAGGGAGGGTTCTCAGGGAAGAAGGCCTCCCAGTAGGTCAAGCAGCCTCTCCCGAAGTGTCTCTTATACTGATAGTTCCTGGCGTTCTCCTTCTGACCGTTCTCAGTGTTACTCTTTTCTCTCCTTAACATTTTAGTTACTCAGTTTTCTTTTAAGCCCTCTATTCCTTAGTGATAGTCACATTTTATCCATAAGCTGATCACACATTTTCTTCTTCTCCATCTATATCTCAGCTCTTTGGATTTACATTAATTTTATTTTTATTTTTTTAAATATGTTTTTATTGATTCAAGAGAGAGAGGAAGGGAAAGAGAGACAGACAGACAGAGAAACAAACACATCCATATGAGAGAGAAACATGGATCTGTTGCCTCTGCCTGCACCTTAACTGCGAACAGAACCCACAACCTGGGCATGTGCCCTGACCTGGAATTGAACCGGCAACCTTTTGGTGCACAGGATGATGCTCGACCAACTAATGCTCAGCCGAGCCACTGGCCAGGACTACATTAATTTTAAATTCTACCCCCTGCAAATGTATTTTATGCTATCACTCTTACTAGCATATATAAGAAGTTTTAAACAGTTCCAAATTAAACATTAAAATGTTTCATATTTTAAATTAACATGACTTTCTCCATTAAAGTTTTCTTAGAATTGCACCCTCTGAATTTGATTACGTTTTAATAACTCCAATTTTTTTTTCTTTTAATAGATCTTTATTGATTTCAGAGAGAGGAAAGGAGAGGGAGAGAGAGAGAGAGAAATATCAATGATGAGAGAGTCATTGATTGAGCCGGCAACCAGGGCATGTGCCCTGACCGGGAATCGAACCCTGATCGCCTGGATCCTGGGCCAACGCTCAACCGCTGAGCCACACCCGGCCGGGCAATAACTCCAATTTTGACATGAGTCACAGTTATTATTTTCTTTTCGGTATAGTGAATCTAACCTATAACTCTTTTTTTCTTCATTATTTCCCCATGATAATATTCCTAATTAACAATGATAAGAGCTATTATTTATTCATGTAAGCAGCATAGATATATTCTTGCATTTAATTTTCACAGCAGCCTTATAGTTGTCAGATTAAAAAATTTTTCCCCCAAAAGAAAAAAAGGGCAAAGCATATATTCTGCATTTGGGTCATGATTTTAGAAAATCACTGGCAGCAGTCTGTTTAAAACCAAAATTTATTGCTTGCTGCTCTACCTCTGACATTGGTTTAACTCATTTTCTGCTTCTTCATCAATGGTTGGGAAATGCAACCTTAGGACTCTAATTAACAACCACAGACTTATCATTCGCATAACTTTTTTTTTAAAGGTAGTCACTACATTTAATATAATCAAGTACAAAAATAAAGCATAAAGCTTATATTTATAAAATATAGTCAGGATTTTCAAGACATAACTATTATTCAGATTTATGTCCCTTACAGAATTTTGGACTTGAAATGATCTTTTTAAAAAAATTTATCTTTATTGTTGAAAGTATTACAAATGTCCCTCTTTTCTCCCCATTGATTCCCTCCACCCTGTACCCCTTTCCCTAGGCCTTCACCCCACCATTGTCTTTGTCCCTGTGTTATGCATATATGCATATAAATTCTTATGTTAATCTCTCCCCACGCACCCACCCACCCCTGCTTTCCCTCTGAGATTCCTCAGTCTGTTCCATGCTGCTATGTCACTGGATCTATTTTGTTCATTGGTTTATGTTGTTCATTAGATTCTGCATGTGAATAATATCATGTGACATTTGTCTTTCTATGATTGGCTTATTTCACTTAGCTTAATACTCTCCAGGTCCCACCATGCTGTCTCAAAGGGTGAGGGATCCTTCTTTTTTACAGCTGCATAGTATTCCATTGTGTAAATGTCCAAGAAGATGCTTGATATGATTTCAAAATTCTTGAGCCTATAGACACTTGTTTTGTGTCCTAACATATGGTTTATCTTTGAGAATGTCCCATGTGCACTTGAGGAGAATGCCTATTCTGCAGCTTTGGAGTGGAATGTTCTGTAACTACATCTCACCTAGTGTGTCATTTAGAGTCACTGTTTCCTTGTTGATTTTTTTGTCTGGAAGACCTATCCAGTAAAGTCACTGGGGTGTTAAAGTCCCCTACTATAACTGTATTGCTGTCAATCACTCCTTTAAAGGCCTCCAGAAGGGTGTTTTTTTTCCCCCCCAGCCTGTGTGATTCTTTTGTTCTGAGGTGGGTCTCTTGTAGAGAGCATATATTTATATCTTGTTTTCTAATCCATTCAGTTACACTACGTCTTTAGATCGGGACATTTAATCCATTTATATTTAAGGTTATTATTGATAGATACTTCTCTATTGCCATTTTATTTCTTTTTTAAAAAAACTTATCTTGCACAGTTGGGCATGGCTCAGTGGTTGAGCATTGACCTAGGATCCAGGAGATCGGGGTTCGATTCCCGGTCAGGGCACATGCCTGGGTTTCGGGCTAGGCAGCCAATCAATGACTCTCTTATCATTGATGTGTCTATCTCTCTCCCCCTCCTTTCCTCTCTCTGAAATCAATAAAGATATGTTTTTAAAAAAATTTTATCTTTTTTGTTGAAAGTATTACAGATATCCCCCCTTTTTTCCCCATTGATCCCTTCCACCTCAAATCCACACACACACACACATACCCACCTGCCCAGGCCTTCACTACACTATTGTCTGTGTCCTTGGGTTATGCATATATGCATATAAGTTATTTGATTAATCTCTCCCCACCCACTCTCCCACCCCTGCCTTCCCACTGAGATTTATCAGTCTGTTCCATGCTTCTATGTCTCTGGGTATATTTTGTTCCTTAGTCTGTTTTGTTTATTAGATTCCACATATGAGTGAGATCATGTAAAGCCGAATCAGGAAGAATCAGAAAACCTGAATAGGCCAATAACAACTGATGAAATCGAAGCAGTAATAAAAAAACTCCCAGCAAACAAAAGCACCGGTCCAGATGGCTTCACAGGGGAGCTAATTCTTTAAGTTGCAGGGTTAGATAGTTTACTAGAAATTTTTCTTGCTTTTGTGGTAGGCCTGCAGTGCTATGAACTTCCCTCTCAGGACTGATTTCACTGTGCCCTGTAGATTTTGGGTTGTGTCTTCATTTTGTTTCCAGGAAGTTTTTGATTTCTTTCTTGATCTTATTGATAACCCATTCATTGTTTAATAACATGTTATTTAGCCTCCATGTG